AACCCTAAACCCTAAACCCTAACCCCTAACCCCTAAACCCTAAACCCTAAACCCCTAACCCTAAACCCCTAACCCCTAACCCCAAACCCTAAACCCCTAACCCTAAACCCCTAACCCTAAACCCTAAACCCTAACCCCTAAACCCTAAGGATTCTCATTTGCGTTAAAATTTTCTCTCTCTAACTTTCTCTCTCTAGAATTTTTCTCTCTAATTTTTTTGCTGATTCTCCCAATTTTCAACCTGTTTCCTTCCAGATTTAATCGATTATGTAATACCTTCTTGTTATTCGCATGGATCCTTTGATTTCTGACCGTGTTCATAGTCCAATTCCGTTGCAATCGATCCCTGATGGAAATGCAGAAAGTCAAAATTCCCAGTTTATCGATTTTGATCGTGTTCATGCGGCTTCTAATGAAAATCGTAATTCAATTTCTGATCGCCCCAAGGAAATCGTGAAGAAGGACATCGCTTCGGGTTCCCTCAAGTCCAGCTCGCTTAAAAAACAGTCACATAGGAAGAAACCATATGCGATTCATGATTCAGGTAAGAAGGGTATCGCTATTTCAAAGTATTCGAGTTCTGATTTGGTGTCAGATGCTAAGAAATCGATGATTGAATCTGAAACGGTCTTGGATTACACCAGCAACTCTGAATTATACATTAAAAACGTGATTAATAAGTTTGATTCTCAACCCACTTTTGATAATCGACTAGAGGAGTGCTTGAATACTCCGTTGCTGGAACAAACCCCTTCTGTTGATACTGGTAAAAATGGATTGGATTTTAGCGACTTACCTTCTAAAGGTACAGGGGATGTTTTTGTCAATAATCTGATAGGAGTGAATAATGTAGGAGTTGAATCTATTGGTAAAAATCATATGCCTGCTGTTGAGGGTGTGATAAATAACCTGATTTCGGAGAATTCGGCTTGGTCTGGGAATGGTAATGGAGTGGATGGGTTGCTAAAGTCCCATCAAGATTGGGTTAATAATTCCACTTTTCGTTGTTTGGAGAAAAATGGCGTTCATATCACTGGATTACCTCTTTATGGTGGTAATGGTACAGGGAATTCCAACTATATGGCTGGTGCTAAGAGTAATAAGGATGTGCAAAATATGGAACCTGATGTTGCTATGTCTGATATTATTGTGGAACCTGGTAAGGGGACTGAGGAATCGATGGGTAAGAAATCTGCTAATATGTGGAGCTCTAAAGGGGTCACTCTGGCTGATAAGATTAAAGGGAAATCTGACAGTAAAATTGTCCTTTCTTATAAACCCCCTGTGGTGCTTTGTGATGGGAGAATGGCTATTAGATTTTCCAAATAGGTGATTGAGGAGGGCAGCAGAAAGAATGCTATGCTTCTCATTGGACATTTTGTGGGTGCGAATATGCCGTTCTATGTTGTTAATAGCAACCTCAATCGTATGTGGAGAAGGTACGGGCTGGTTAATGTTGCCTCCAATTATGAAGGTTTTTTTCTCTTCAAATTCAATAATGAAGAGGGTATGTCCTATGTTCTTGAAAATGGACCATGGCTTGTTAATGGCATTCCGTTATTTGTTAGCAAATGGAAAGCGGGTAGTTCTCTTGGAAAACCGGAACTTAAAAAGCTACCTATTTGGGTTAATCTCTATGGCGTTCCTCTTGAAGTTTGGAATGCACAGGGACTGAGTGAATTGGCAAGTGGAATAGGGATCCCTCTAACCCTTGATCGTGCCACGGAGGAAAGATGTATATCTCAGTCTGGGCGTGTTGGGTTTGCCAGAATACTGATAGAAGTTTCTGCTGATAAGGCCATAGCAGATGAAGTTATTGCTTTGGTACCTTCTTTGGATGGTACTGAAGAGAAGGAGGTCATTATTAGAGCTATGTATAATTGGAAGCCAGCTCGATGTAAACATTGCAATATCTTTGGCCACTCTTTCATTGATTGTACTGCACGGCCATTGACTGATGATGAAAAGAAAGCTGCTATTTCAAAGGAGGAGGCTAAAAAAGATCAGAAAGTTGGGGACGATGGGTTTCAGACCGTTGGCAGGAAAAACCGACCTGTCCAGAATCAGGTTAAAAATGTGGGCTTTCAGACTTCTAAGGGTGGTGGTAATCAGCAGAGCAGCAATTCTAAGGGTAGTACTAAGTCTTGGGTCCAGCAAAGATTTTATTCTCAGGGTCAAAAAACTTCCCAAATTGGCTCTAATCCGGTTGGGAAGAAATTCAATGGAACTACTGGCAAACAGGAAGCTACTCTGTCTTCTCAAAAGAAGGGTAATGATGGGGATCTTAAAAATGGACAGACTCTGAATAGGCAGCTAAAAAGTGGAGCACCTACTGGTTCATCAAAAGGGAGTAAGTTTTCTGAGGAAGGCAAGCATGTTAATATTCAGAATAGTAGCAAAACTATGTTTCCTGATCAAGTCTTGAATAAGGAGAAAGGTGTTTTAAATAAGGCTATTGAAAAGTCCTTGTGGACAGAAAAAACTAAAAAGGGTCAGAATATGGGAGATGCTAATTTTGTTATCTTGAAGAAGGGTGATAGTGGTGTTATGAGTACAAGCAACCCTTTTGATGTTCTTGACCAATTGCCTACGGATAATGATGATGAGAATGACCACAAATGGTTTTTTGATCAAGAAGCAGTCAATTTCTACCTTGAGCGTGGTATCATACCACCTGCTGATGTTTTTATTGAATGGTCGCAGGAGCAGGCTGATTATTACAGAAATCATACTATGCGTGAGGATGTTTATCGTAAGGATGATGCCCCAGAATTCATGCAAGTTGAGGATGAGGATCGTAGAAGGGGGGGAGAAAGGTTGACTAAACCCAAATTGTCTTCTCAATGATTAAGTTTGCTATATGGAATATTAGGGGCCTGAATGTGGTCTCCAAGAGAAATGAGGTTAGAAGATTAATTGCTGATAATAGTTTGGAGATGTGCACGATTGTTGAAACTAAAATTTGTGCGAACAAATTAAAGGAGATTTGTGAATATATTTTTGGCAGCTGGAGATGGGTTTCTAACAAATCTACGTGTGATGGCAGAACTAGAATTATTGTGGGTTGGGACCCCAATAAGGTGATTATGGACTTTTCTCATTTCGGTAGTCAGGTGATTCATGGTCGTGTTCAACACATTCAGTCTAATTTGATCTTCTATTGCTCCATGGTGTACGCTGCGAATAATGTGTCTGTCCGAAGGGAGATATGGGATTCTATTCGTCTCCATAACCGGTTTGTTAATATGGAGGCTTGGGTTGTTATGGGAGACTTTAATGTCAGTCTCAATCCGGGTGATAGCTCTAGAGGATCCTCCTTGATTACTAGAGGCATGATTGATTTTAGAGACTGCATAAATGATGTAGAATTGGATGACATCAATCAGTCTGGTATAAAGTATTCTTGGATTCAAAAACCTTTAGCTGATATGGGACAAAAAGGTCTTTTCAAAAAGCTTGACAGGGTTTTTGGTAACTTGAAGTTTCTTGCTGATTTCCCTTCGGCTCATGCCTCATTCCTTCCTTATGGTCTTTCTGATCATAGCCCTATTGTAATTTCTGTTGATGTTCAGTCAGCTTCTAAATCTCTGAGGCAAAAATTTCGTGTTAAGCCGTTCAAATTCAATAATCATCTGGCTGACTCCCCGAAATTCCTTTCGTTGGTTGACAATTCATGGAATAATTATGTGGGTGGTTGCCACATGTATTCTGTTGTTTCCAAACTTAAAGGCATAAAGAAAGATGTGAGAAAGCTGAATTTGGAGCATGGTAATGTGTTTGAACAGGTGAAAAAAATTCGTCATGAGTTGAATGTTGCTCAAGCCTGTATGGATGCGGATCCGGAAAATGGTGAAATCTGTATGGAAGGAGCAGTTTACCTTAAAGCCCTTAAAGATGCTCTAATTGCTGAGGAGAAATTTTTGAGACAACGATCCAAAGTTCACTGGTTGAAGGAAGGGGACTCTAATACGGCTTACTTTCACAATGTTGTTAAGTCTAAGGCGAATAAAGGCAGAATTCATGTTATTGAAGATTTGATGGGAAACAGATTTGAGGGCCTGGATGTTGCAGACCAATTTGTCAATCATTTTCAATCCATGTTGGGAACTGATGTTCCTGTTTTGAAGATTCTGAACCCTTCCTCTTTGTTCCAGAAAAAACTCTCTCTTCCCCAGGCTGAGTTTATGATCAGGCATGTCACTGATAAAGAAGTCCAGGATGCTATGTTTGATATTGATGACAATAAAGCCCCGGGGCCTGATGGTTTTTCGTCTTGTTTCTTCAAGAAAGCTTGGCCTGTTGTTGGTAAGGAAGTGTGCTTAGCCATTCAGCAATTTTTTGAAAATGGTAAGTTGTTACATGAAGTGAATGCTACGATCATTGCTTTGGTGCCTAAATCTCAATCCCCGAATACTGTGGCTGATTTTAGACCTATTGCTTGTTGCAATGTGTTATTCAAATGCATTAGCAAGATTATTGTTAGCAGATTAAAAGGCTTTCTTAATCTTCTTGTGGACCCTAATCAATCTGCTTTCATCCCCAACCGGCAGATAAGTGATAACATCTTACTGGCCCAAGAATTAATGCGTGGTTATCACAGGCAGAGAGGTATTAAAAGGTGTGCCTTCAAAATAGACATTCAGAAAGCTTATGACACGGTGAGCTGGTCGTTTCTGGAATTTATTCTAACGCAATTTGGTTTTCATCCTTGTATGGTCTGCTGGATCATGAAGTGTGTTACTTCGGCCTCTTATACTATTCGTGTTAATGGTGATCGGCATGGATTTTTTCCGGGTAAAAGAGGTCTAAGGCAGGGGGATCCTCTATCTCCTTACTTATTTACTCTTGTGATGGAGGTTTTGAACCTTATGGTTAAAAGGAAAGTTAAAGAGGCGGAGAATTTCAAGTATCACCCGAAATGTGAAAAGCTGGGGATCACTCACTTATGTTTTGCTGACGATCTGCTAATGTTCTGTTATGGAGATGCAAAATCTGTTATGACTCTTAAGGATGCTCTCATGGAATTCAGTAGTGTCTCGGGTCTAAAGCCTAACTTGGGGAAGAGTACTTCTTTTCTGGCTAATGTTGTGGGGAGGAACAGAATGGAGATTTTGAAGATATTGCCTTTTAAACTTGGTACTCTTCCTGTCAAACACTTGGGAGTCCCTCTCTTATCTACTAAATTGTTCCATAAAGACTGTGCAGATTTAATTGATAGAATTAAAAGGAGGATCTTGGACTGGAAAAATAAATGGCTTTCTTTTGCGGGGAGATTACAACTGATCAACTATGTTCTTTCTTCCATTTCTGTCTACTGGGCTACCTTATTTCTCCTGCCTGTTTCTGTTGTGAAAGAGATTGAAAAAATTTTGAGAAATTTTCTCTGGAGTAGTGGAGAGCCTATTAAAGGAAAGGCCAAAGTTTGCTGGAAAACCATCTGCAAACCTAGATATGCGGGAGGTCTTGGTGTGAAAGACTTGAAGATATGGAACAAGGCCCTTTTAGCTAAGCAGATTTGGAAAATTATTGAAAATGGTAAATCTCTATGGGTCAAATGGATCCATGAACACAGACTAAAAGGCAGAAATTTTTGGGAGGTGGGAGAGGTTTATGATGCCCCGTGGTTCTGGAGAAAAGCTATTGGCATAAGAGATTTATTCAGAAATCATATAGTGCATATTTTGGGGAATGGAAGATCTACTTCGTTATGGTATGACTCTTGGCATCCTGCTGGTCCGCTTTGTGCTTTTATATCCAGAAGAGAGATCTACAATGCCAATTTGCAGTTAAATCTTAAAGTTTGTGATATGGTTACTGATGGTTTGTGGTCCTGGCCGCTTGATATTTGGTGCAAATATGGTCCTGTCCTTCAACTATACATGCCATCTCTTAAGGAGAATGTTTCAGATAAAGTCAGTTGGAAGAGCAGTGGAGGTTCCATTGCTGATTTTACTGTTGCTAAGACTTGGAATGATGTGTTTTTGAATTATGCTGCTGTTCCTTGGTCAAAGTTGGTGTGGTTTAATCAAGGAGTGCCGAGACATGCTTTCATCCTCTGGCTGGCAATTCAGGAGCGCCTCAGAACTTTGGACAGGCTCACTAATTGGAATGTCACGGCTGATAACCTTTGTGTTCTATGTCATGAGGATGTGGAGAATCATAATCACTTGTTTGTTAATTGCAAATTTGTCAATGATGTGTGGAGTTTTTATGCTGAGGTATCTGGTATCTATGGTATGATCCAGACTGTTAAGGGTTCTAGAAATGCTTGGGCTGATTTGATTTTTTGGTTGTCTAATGGTCCTCTCAATAATTCCATTTGGAGTATCATTCAAAAGATCCTGTTTGCTGCTGTTGTCTACTTCATTTGGCAAGAGAGGAATCATAGGATTCATTCTGGTGTGTGCAGATCAGCTGAGTCCCTATCTAAGCAAATCAGGGATGTTGTCAGAATGAGACTCATGGGACTGAAGGTCAAAAATAATATGCATGTGAGGCGGGCTGCTGGAATGTGGGGTCTTGATTTTGTGAAAGGAGTGTTTGCTGATGGAGCCAATCCCATTCCTTAATTCTGGTATGGTTGATACTTGTTTCTGGGTGACTTTGTATTTCGGTTGGTGTTTGGAGCTGATAGTTTATAGTCGGTTGAGTTCTGGCTATGAATATAATTGGTGGAGATTCTGCTGCTACTTTGAGGGGAACAACCTGGACAGAGTTTGGTTAGAGAGAAATGCTACCTGTGCTTATGAGAATCCTTGGGTATGGGTTTCTGGGGAGGGGCATGGGAAACACATGGGGTTACAATGGGTTTCTACGGGGTGGACCGGGAAAAAACTTCTTTTGACTAACAATTTTTTATGCAGGTACATGCATCTTTTGAACTCGATCTCTTGGGGTTACGGGATGGGACTTTGGGTTGATGCTACAAGGGGGTGTAGGGTAGAGGAGTTAGGAATGTCTTTGATCTTGTATGGGAGATATAAGGAGGTTTTTTGGGAGGATAGGTTGTTTTTTTGGGAATTCTCTTACCAGGTGTACAGGGGCTGCTTGTTGATGCTGTATGGTTTATTAGAGGGCTGGTTATTTGTTTTTATCCCTCTTGTCAATATGTATAGATTGGCTTATGTGTTGAGATACATATTTTGGGTGAAGGGGATGGGTGTTTATAAGTCTTTTGGTGTCTCCAAATTTAAAGGAAAATACCTTTTTGATTCTCCTTTTGATTTGGCTCCTTTCTGGGTGTTTTGGTATTTTGGGCATATCATTCTTGTATTTAGAGGTTTCCTGCCCTTTCTCTCTTTTTGGTCCATTGTCTTTGGCCCAAACATTTGCCTCTTTCCTAATCGTTTTGATATGTTATCTTGGCTTTCTCCAAGATTTTGCATTTCTCAGCTTTCTGTGTTTCTTAAAGTTGATTCCTCTAATTTGCATCAATGGATTCATTTTAGCAGAAACTCTTGTTCTCTGACTGGATGCAATTTTAGAAACTTTTCCTATGTTGGTATGCCTTATGGCTAGATCCCTTCTCAAAGGATTTCTATTATCATAAGCTCTTCTTTAAAAAACATATACTGGTCTGATGGTACTTGGCCACATCAGGGAGTGATTTTGAGGAAAGAGTATGGGTTAAGATTTGGTCTGGGATGTATCATGTTCGTAGTTGTACTCTTCTTTTTTCTTGAATAAATTTTTCCTGGGGTCCCGTCCCCTTTTACCAAAAAAAAAACCTTAAACCCTAAACCCTAACCCCTAACCCCTAAACCCTAAACCCTAACCCCTAACCCCTAAACCCTAACCCCTAAACCCTAAACCCTAAACTCTAACCCCTAACCCCTAAACCCTAAACC